CTTACTAACTTCTTATATTATCCTAATTCCTATCTTACGAAAGTGTTAAAAAATGAATTGTATCATTGTAACTGAATGTCCTCAAAATATAATTACTTCACAGGTAGTTTGTGGAGGCATACATTTAATCATCGTTCAGGCAGTATTTCAGTACTGTTTCTGTTCCATGTATTCATCTGGGATCAGAAAATGGTCATAGAGAAAAGAGAGGACATCCATAATAAATCAGTGGGGAGTTTGCTAATAATTTTCATTTGTTTGAGAAATGACTACGATAAACCAAGTCCTTGGGGTTTGTTAAAGCAAAAAGAGGAAAGTAGTGACCTAGATGAACAGTAGTACCTTTACTACATAAAGCTTTCTAAAGTCAGGAAGACAATGGTGTTGTATGTAAATCATTAAAACTTGCATTAATTAAGAAGTAAACTTATAATATAGGCAAGGATTGTGGGACATATTCATAAAATGACAAAAGAGAAGGGACCATGAAACTAATCTATTTCAAGACTTTTTTTTGAATTGGAATTACCTCTTCAAAGAGTGATTATCTAGGTCCTAAAGACTTCTTATCACTGGTTATTGACTGTCCTCAAATAAACCCTTTCTGATTGTTAGGGTGTAGTCCCTTAAATTTATCTCTCTCTGTATTCCACCCATTGGTTCCTATTCAGTGCCCTGAAGCCAAACTTAATAAATCTAATACTTTTTCTACATGACATCTCTTTAGGGTGAAGGAAACTACCTTGTCCTCCCTACATTTCTCTTTTCACATTAAACATTTTGAGTTCCATTTCCATATGAAATAACCTCCATTAATCTTGCAGTTCTGATATTCCCCCTTGATATGTACCAGCTTTTCAGTTCACTAACTATAGTGTCTAGAACTTGATACATCAGTCCAGATCTTATCTAAACAATGCAAGGTACAATAGGATCATCATCTACCTGTGCTTTCACTAATACAAACTAATTGCTGAATCATGGTAATTCATACAAAAGAGTCCTAAAATGTAAAAAGAGAGAGAGAGAGAGAGACAGAGAGAGAGAGAGAGAGAGAGAGACAGAGAGAGAGAGAGAGAGAGAGAGAGAGAGAGACAGAGAGAGAGAGAGAGAGAGAGAGAGAGAGAGAGAGAGGGAGACAGAGAGAGAGAGAGAGAGAGAGAGAGAGAGACAGAGACAGAGACAGAGAGAGAAAGAAAGAGGGGGAGAGAGAGAGACACAGAGGGGGGAGAGAGAGAGAGAGAGAGAGAAAGAGAAGGTAGATGGGTTGGTATTTGTATCCCTGGAGAAAACTCCTACATGAACAAGAGCTTAAATCTGTCAAAGTAATATCAAATTATTTTGATTCTCTGCATAAGCTGTACTTAACATAAAGTTTGAAGTCAACTTCAGTTCCCAGTTGTTGTTGTTATTGAAACAGCTGTTATTCAGCCTTACCATAATGCCCTTGTCCAATCACATGATTTATAGAACTACTGCCTATAAAGTTAAAACTTCTTTGCTTCAAGACCATTCATTCATGTAGTGGCACCTTATTTTGCCAGCTTATCTAACAATATTAATCTCTATACATTTTGTGAATCAGTCACACTGGAGAACTCTGTGCTCAGCCATGACTGCACTTTGCACTTCCTTTCTATCTATTCATATAATCTTATTTCCATAATGCCATTGCTTCTACAGATTTTTGATGCATAGTTAAAAACAATATTTTTTTAAAGGAGCAGACACCTTCCATTAAAGCTTTCATGATCTTGTAATGATCAGTAATGACATTCCCTCAAAATCACTTTATATGTAGTATTCTTTTATAATTATCATTGTGTGTGTGTGTGTGTGCGTGAGCTTGTGATGTTATCCTTTGACCAATGCACTCAAGAGACAAACCTGCTTAGCCTTTATATTTTAGATTGCTCCTGCTTTATCTATTTTAAAATGAGTTATCCTTAAAATGTCTATTAATAACCCAGCTATTCTCAGATTGTTAACATTCTAGCCCGAAGATTCTCTTTTTTCTTGCAATATCATTTTCTTGCCATATCATTAAAAGTACAATATCAGTATCAAATGCCTCTGTGGATCTTGGCATTAGCAATTCAGGGAATATATGCTTCTGATTTATTGCCAAAAGTAGACTTTATTAGCTATTATATATTAGACCATCTATCTATGTGTCTGTCTCTCCAACTATTTATCTTCTACCTAGTCTATCATTTATCTATCATCTGTTTAACATCTTTCTACATAGTCTGCCTGTCCATTCATCTTCTATATTTCCCTTTATCATATATTAATCTATATCTAGATATGCATATAAAGATGTGGATATTGTAAATAACTACTATGTAAAGTATTGCTGTGAAGTTATCTTTGAAATTCTAGTTTGACATTCAATTTAACCATACTAGATTTCATGTTATTAGACTAATCACATTGACCATTTTTTTTTCATTCATATAGCACTCCACTTCTACTTCTCATGCCTTTGTCTTCCCTTCATGCATAAATTGCATGTCTTCCACCTCTCAGAATTTCTAGGATTCTCTGAGAAGAAATTCAAGTTGGAGGAGAGATAATTAAAGAATTCTTGTACTACCTGAAAACCATGATCAAACCAAAGTCTAGACATCATGTTTTCAAGAAATGTTCAAGGAAACCTTCCTGATATTTTAGAAACAGAGAAAAATTGAAAGAATCTGCTGATCACCATCTGAAAGAGACCAAAAAAAGAAAACTTTCAAAAACATTATAGCCAAATTCCACAGTTCCCAAGTCAAAGAGAAAATATGTCAAGAAGCCAGAAAGAACTATTCAATTTCATTAAGCCACAGTCAGGGTCAAAAAATATTTAGCAGCTACAATGTTAAAGGAGCAGAGGGCTTGGAATATAATATTACAGAAGGCAAAAGATTACAACCAAAAATAAGCTACCCAGAAAAACAAAGCATAATCCTTCAGAGGGAAAATGAATATTTAATAAAATTGAGGACTTTCAAGCAATTTTAATGGAAAGACCAGAGCTGAATAGAAAATCTGGCATTCAAACGAAACACTCAAGAGATGGTAAACATGAAAGAGTAATCATAAGGAACTTAATAAAGTTAAATGGCTTACATTCCTAAGTAGGAAAATGATGCATATAACTCCCAATAACTTTATCATTATAAAGGAAGTTAGGAATCTACACACACAGAGAGACTGAGAATATCAATTATGTGGGTATTATCCCCTAAAAATGGATGGATAATAAAGAAGGACAGACAGGGAGTAGTGGAAAGGGAGAGGTAGAATATGGAAAAATTATCTCACATAAAAGAGAGCTTTTACAGTGTAGTAGAAAATGGGGGGGTTGGGGGTTAGGGGTAGGGACAGCTAGGTGGTGCAGTAGGTAGAGCGTTGGCCCTGAAGTCAGGAGGACCTGAGTTCAAATCTGGGCTCAGACCAAACACTTGACACTTACTAGCTGTGTGACCCTGGACAAGTCGCTTAACCTCAACTGCCTAAAAACAAACAAAAAAGAACAGAGATTTTAGTGCTCAACGTTAGGTAGTTGCTTTAGAAGAGCTGGGACAAGACCTCAGGCCCAGTGCCCACCCCTTTTGAGGAAAGGAGAGATACATACTTCTAACTCCAAGCACAGGGCTTTTTCCATTACTACAGTATTTAGAATTTTTATATATAATACATGCATGTATATACATATGCATATGCAATATTGCCTCTATTGATGCTGATGATAATGGCTCATATTTATAATTTACATAATTGATAGTTATAACTCAATTATCTCATTATTAGGGCAGTTAGAAGTAGTATATATGGACAGATGGAACAAGTGTGAGTTGAGTATGAAAGATGACATAAAAAATAAAATTAAGGGATGAGGGAGGAATGTACTAGGAGAAACGGAAAGGGAGAGGTAGAATAGGGTAAATTATCACATAAAAGAAGCAAGAGAGTGGTGGTGGCACAAGCGCCCCAGACACCCGCTTCTTCCCAGACTCCTGAGTACTAAGTGGCTTCGGAGCCCAAGGTTTGGGTCGTGGCTTCCGCTATCTGAACCGAGACCCCGAGGTGGAGGTGCATGGTGGATGGCCAAGTGGGCAACTGCAGGCACTGATGGGACGTGAAGGGCCTGGCTGGCCCAGGGCAGAGTGGAGCGGAGGTGGCCAGGAGAGACGAGGAGGCCCCTGCCCCTCCCCCCTCCCCTCGTGCAGCGTTATGGATCCAAGCTTATTAAAAGAACAGGAGCTCTTCAAAAAATGAGCTCTCTCCAATCCATCAGTAGAAAAACGTCCAGCGCTTTCTGAGTTGTCCTCATTGTCCAAGAAGAAGAAAGCCAAGGGAGGATCATCAGGCTCAAAACAAAATTCAGAACTGGAAATTGAGAGGATGCCCACCAATTGGGGAATGGCTGAAAAAGTGGTGGTATATGAATGTAATGGAGTACTGTTGTGCTATAAGAGATGATGAGCAGGCTGACTTCAGAAAAAACTGGAGAAACTTGTATGGACTGGTGCTGGATGGGGTGGGCAGAGCCAGGTGAGCGGTGCACAGTAACAGCCATGTTGTGTGATGACTAACTTTGATAGACTTGGCCCTTCTCAGCAATGTAAGGATCTGGGACATCACCAGACACCTCATGATGGAGATTGCTGTCCACATCCAGAGAGGGAACTATGGAATCTGAATGCAGATGGAAGTAGACTATTTTCCCTCTTCTTTTCTTTTATTGTTTTGTTTTGTCTTTCTGGTGGTTCCTCATATTGGTTCTAATTCTTCTTTACAACATGACTAATGTGAAGATATGTTTAATAGGAATGTATACATAGAACCTATATCAGATTGCATGCCATCTTGGGGAGGGGGAGAAAATTTAAAACTAAAAAGCATATGGAAGTGACTGTTGAAAGCTAAAACTAAATTTTAAAAAATAATAATAAAAAAAATTTAAAAAGAGAAATGGCTGTCCAGGAATTTGAGTAGACCTCTTCACCCCATTTAAAAGTGTTTTATTTCAGACTTAGCAGACAGTAACATATCAATGAGTAAAGACCAGAAAGGAGGAGAAGGATCTATGAAACCATGACCTGCCATTGTGAATGCTTTTTTAGGTTTTCCAGGATGCTCGTCTGTGCCCTTTCTGAGCTGTCCTCTGCTGCATTCTTCTGTAGTCTGTTTTCTCCCGTTTTACTGCTCCTGGTCCATTTCTCAGCCATCTTTGGAAAATGATAGATGGAAATATTAGAAATCTGCCCTATTTGCTTTACTATAACACCCCTGAGAGCTTGGTGCATTCCCATTTGCCCCAGCATGTCAAAGTTCAAAATGGTGTCTGTCAAGTAGGAAGCAAAGATGCTGTAATGTCATTGTGAAAGAACCAATGTTCCTGGTTGTAAAGTATGCCCAATACCTATTTTTTGAGTTTCTTAAATTATTTTCTCTGCATTATTCTATATTGCCATTAAAATAAATCAGAAATTTAAAAAAAAAAGCTAGAGAAAGCTTTTACACCAGATGGAAAGAGAGGAGAGTTTCAGAACTAGCTCAAAGAGGGAATAACATACACATTCAATTGGGTATAGAAATCTATCTTACCCTACAGTAATGAAGAAGGGGAAAGGAATAAGAGAAATGGTGTGGGGTGATAGAAGGGAGGACAGATTGGGGCAGGGGATATTCATAAGCAAAATACTTTTGAGGAGGGACAGGGTAAAAGGAGAGAGAGAATACATTAAGAAAAGGAGAATAAGATGGAGGGAAATATAGTTAGCAATAGTGACTGTGAAAAAAAACAAGCTTCTCTGACAAAGGTCTCATTTCTCAAACATATAGAGAACTGAGTCAAATTTATAAAAATAAAGGCCATTCCCTACTTGACAAATGATTAAAAGATATGAACAGTTTTCAGATGATGTAATCATAGTTACCCACAGCAATATGAAAAAATGCTCTATCTCATCACTGACTGGAGAAAAGAAAATTAAAACAATTCTGAGATACTACCTCATGCCAATTAGACATACTAGTCCTAACAGGGCAGAAAAAGAAAATGACAAATGTTGGAGGGGGTGCAGGAAAAATGAGACATTAATGTATTTTTGGTGGAGTTGTGAATTAATTCAACCATTCTGTAGAGCAACTTGGAAGTATGTCCAAAGGGCTATAAAACCATAATAAGCCCCTTTGACCTAAGACCACTACTAGGTCTGTATCCCAAAAGAGATAAAAAAAGGAAAAAGAACCTACCTGTACAACAATATATATATATATAGGAGCTGTTTTCTGGCAGCAAAGAATTGGAAATTGAGGGGATGCCCATCAATTGGGGAATGGCTGCACAAACTGTAACAAGTAATTATGATGGAATACTATTGTGCTATAAGAAATGATAAGCAGGATGCTCCCATAAAAAACCTGGAAAGACTTACATAAGTTGATGCAAAGTGAAATGTACAAGGTAACATAAATATTGTAAGATGATCAGCAGTGAATGACTTGCCTATTTGCAGCAATATAATGATCCAAGAGAACTCTGAAGGACTTGTGATGAAAAATGCTATCCATCCCCAGAAAAAGAACTGATGGTCTCTGAAAACATATTTAAGCATACTTATTTTTGCTTTCTTTATTTTTCTTAAGTTGTTTTCCTCTTATGTTTTCTTTCACAACATGACTATTATGGAAATGTCTTATATGACAAAAATTACATATGAAATTACTTGCTTTCTCAATGAGGAGAGGTGGAGAGTGAGGAAGAGAGAATTTGGAAGTCAAAGTTTTAAAAATGAATGTTAACTTTTTTACATGTAATGGGGAAAATAAAATACTAAATAAAGAATGAAGGAGAGGGGGGTGGAGCCAAGATGTCAGGGAGAAATCAGGTACTGCAGGTACCTCCAAAAAAAAACCTGACCATGTACAGTGGCATAAAAAACTCACAAATGTAAAAAGGCAGAAATATTAAATGTATCCTTTTTAAATCACAATACAATAAAAATTATGGGTAATAAAGGGCCATGGAAAGATAGATTAGAATTAATTGGAAACTAAAGATTCTAATCCCAAAGAATGAGTGGGTCAAACAACAAATCACAGAAACAATCAATAATTTCATTAAAGAGAATAGCAATAATGAGGTAACATAGCAAAACATATGGAATACAGCCAAAGCAGTTTTTAAGGGAAAATTTTAAATTTACAAGTGCTTACTTGAATCAAAAAGAAAAAGAAGAGATCAATGAATTGGTCATGCAAATAAAAATGACAGAAAAAGATCAAATTAAAAATCCTCAATTAAATACTAAATTTGAAATTCTGAAAATCAAAGGAGATATTAATAAAATTGAAACTAAGAAAATTATTGAACTAAAAATAAAACTAAGAGCTGGTTTTATGAAAAAAAACAATAAAATAGATAAATCTTTGTTAATTTGATTTAAAAAAAGAGAGGAAAACCAATTACTAGTATCAAAAAGGAAAAGGGTGAATTCATCATCCATGAAGAAGAAATTAAAGAAATAATTAGGAGCTATTTTGCCCAAATATATGCCAATAAACCTCATAATCTAAGTAAAATAGATGAATATTTACACAAATATAAATTGCCCAGATTAACAGAATAGAAAATAAAACAATTCATCAGTGAACTCCCTAAGAAAAAATCTCCATGCCAGATGGATTTACAAATGACTTCTACCAAATATTTAAAGAACAATTAATTCCAATACTATGTAAACTATTTGGAAAAACAGGTAAAGAAGGAGTCCTACCAAATTATTTTTATGATACAAATATGGTGCTCATACCTTAACTGGGAAGCGCCAAAACAGAGAAACAAAATTATAGACTAATTTTCCTAATATATATAGATGCAAAAATTTTAAATGAAATATATTAGCAAAGAGATTACAGCAATTTATCATGAGGATAATACACTATGACCAAGTGTGATTTATAATAGGAATACAGGGCAGGTCCAGTATTCATAAAACTATCAGCATAATTGACCAATCAATACAAAGTTAATAGAAATCATGATTAATTTTTTCCAATGAATACATTTATTTTTTATTTATTTATTTTAATTAATTTATTTTGATTTATCAACAATCACTTCCATATGCTTTTGAGTTTAAAATTTTTCTCCCCTTTCCTCACCACCACATTCCCAAGATGGCGCACAATCTGATATAGGCTATACATACACATTCTTATTAAACATATTTTCAGATTAGTGATGTTGTAAGTAAAAATTAGAACCAATAGGAGGAACCACCAGAAAGAGGAAACAAAACTCAACAGAAGAGAAAAAAATAGCAAATAGTATGCTTCGATCTGTATTAAAATTCCATAGTTCTTTCTTTGGATGTGGATAGCATTTTTCATCATGAGGCCTTGGAGATGTCTTAGATCCTTGTATTGCTGTGAAAGGTTAAGTTTATCAACATTAGTCATTGCAAAAAGTGGATGTTATTGTGTCCAACATTCTCTTGGTTCTGCTCACTTCACTCAGCATCAGACCATACAAGTCTTTCCAGGTTTTTCTAAAGTCAGCTTGTTCATCATTTCTTATAACACAATAGTATTCTATTACATTCATATACCACAACTTGCTCAGCCATTCCCCAATTGATGGGCATGCTCTCAATTTCCAATTCTTTGCCACCACAAAAAGAGCTGCTTTGAATATTTTTGTACATGTGGGTCCTTTTCCCATTTGTATGATCCCTTTGGGGTACAGCCCTAGAAGTGCTATTGCTGGGTCAAAGAAATCATGACTATTTCAATGGATGCAGAAAAAGCTTTTGACAAAATACAACACCCATTCCTGTTAAAAACACTAGAGAGCATAGGGACCAATGGAGTTTTCCATAAAATGATAAGAAGCATCTATCCAAAACCATTATCAAGTATTACATGTAATATAGACAAACTAGAAGTATTTCCAGTAAGATCAAAGGTGAAACAAGGATGTCCATTATCACCACTGTTATTCAATATTATACTAGAAATGTTAGCTTTAGCAATAAGATAAAAAAAAGAAATTGAAGAAAATGTAATCGGCAAATAAGAAACAAAGCTCTTACTCTCTGTAGATGGTATGATGGTTTACCTAGAGAATCAACTAAAAAAACTACTTGAAATAATTAAAAACTTTAGCAAAGTTGCAGGATATAAAATAAACCCACATAAATCATTGGCATTTCTACATATTACTAACAAAGCCATGAAGCAAGAGATAGAAAGAAAAATTCGATTTAAAGTAACTATAGATAATATAAAATATTTGGGAGTCTACCTACCAAGACATACCCAGGAACTATATGAACACAATTACAAAAACAAACAAAACCAAAACCACTTTTCATACAAAGTCAGATATAAACAACTGGAAAAATATCAGTTGCTTATGGTTAAGGAATGATAATTTGATAAAATGACAATTTCACCTAAATTCATTTACTTATTTAGTGCTACACTGTAACACAGGAAACAGCAACTATGCCAATTTTTGGGCAGGAGCTGCCGCTAGAGGTTGTGGGCTGCAGCCTCTAGCAGGTTCACTGTTGATATAGACAGCCAGATGGAATGGAAGACAGCTTCGGAGGGGTTTATTAATATACATTATTCTTATTCTTCTCTATCTCAGTGGGTTCCTGATAATGGGAGCACCAACTCCTACAGGGTTTCCTAATCACACTTCTCACAGGGATTGGTGAGAAGAAGGGACAACAATCCCTACATCTTTTTTTTTTTCAACCACTACATTTTGATGGGGGCCAGTTGAGACAGGCACAGCATTCTAGCTTGTGCATTTCCCTAAATCCCACCAAGCCTTGATGGGAGCATGTCAAGGCATGCACATTCTAGCTAACATGTTTCCCCTAAGCCTCATTAGGGGACAGATGAGGCATGCACATTCATAAATACCTACTCATTGACCAGTGCTCTCTTGATCTATAGAGAAGCACACAAAGAAGGCAATTTGCCAACAACAGCTTCACAATTTTACATTATCTTATCTTTATATCTCACTGTGCAGTGGTAGTACAAATTGTTTACAATGTGAAATCCTGGGAACTAGTAGACTGTTTTGGTCATAGATTCTGAGAACTATTATCTAAAAAAGAATTTAAAAAGTCCTCCTTACTTATACATACTAATCAAACTACCCCAAAATAATTTTATAAAGCTAGGAAAAAAAACAATAACAAAA